TTCACTAACATTAATTTATTCTTTCCTTTAATATATTTTAATTCAGTTTTAAATTTAAGAACCCTATTTATCATTTTAATGTTTTACAATATATTTTAACTGTATGTCTGTAAAATGCCTAGAATTATTTTTGGTGAGATGGGTGACATGCAAGTTTAATAAATAAATATATTACACATAAATAAATATTTAAATAAATAAAAAATTTCACTTAACTTTTATGTTCTAAAGTTTAATTAATATTTATATAGTACATTTTTGTTAATTTTGTTATCCACATTCAAAGTTATCTAAATATTAGTAATAATTCTCAATCAATACTAAAAATATTACTGCATCAAAATAATATAATGTACAGGCAATCCTTGATTTACAATCACAATTGAACCCAAAATATCTGTTGTTAAGTGAAACATCTGAAGAAAGGTATTCGGAAGGCCAAGACTGATTATAAGAGGAAGATTGAGGATAATTTTTATAGCAATAACATGAGGCAGGTATGGTGAGGGATTCAACAAACTACCAACCATCAACTGACCATGTCATCCCTGCTGAGGGGATGCTTCATTGTCAGAGGAACTGAATCATTTATTTGCTCCCTTTGAAGTGGAGACATCAAAGACAGATAAAATACAACTACCAGCCAATTGTAGCCCCCCCTTCATTGTGGAGGAACAGGAGATGAGGAGCATTCTGAGGGCTGTGGACCCTAAAAAGGCTGCCAGTCCTGATGATATCTCTGGCTGAGTGCCTAAAGATTGTGCTGATAAGTTAGTTGGAGTCTTTACCAGGATCTTCAATCAGTCTTTATCCCAGTCTACTATTCCATCTTCTTTGAAGGCTTCCACCATTGTTCCGCTGCCAAAGAAGTTCCCTATCAATAACCTCAATGATTACAGACTAGTGGCACTCATTCCTATTATCATGAAGGGGTTTAAGAAATTAGTCTGCTGGCATATCCTCTCTGGTCTTCCACATACATTTGATAAACACCAGTGTGCATACAGAAGAAATAGATCTACAGAGGACGCTAAAGTGATCACTCTTCATGCTGCTCTGACTCATCTAGAACAGGGGAGGGGGGACTTTGTGAGGATGCTTTTTGTAGATTTTAGTTCTGCATTTAACACAATTCTTCCACATAGATTAGTGTCTAAACTTCTGGACCTTGGACTTTCTTTTTTTTTTTTTCCAACAAATTTTATTAGTTTTACAAAAACAATACACAAACAATCAAGGCATAATAACATAAAAAATCTTTTCTAAAAAAAACAGAACATACAAAATAGTTCCAAATTGTAATATAGATATTTACATTATCTGTTCAACTTCATATCTTATCCCAACTTCTCCTTTTCATTCTATTATCCAAATTATATTTCTTGCTAATTAAAGTTTTATTGCCTTTCATAAACAATACACAAACATACAAAACATAAAACATAAAAAAAACAAAAAAACAAAAAAAAACATCTTTTCTGAAGGCTGCTTGATCCCGGGTTAAAACTCTTCGCACAGACACAAATTCAAAAATCATATTCACTTTATATATCATTCCATATCTTATTACCATTTTCAATTTTCTATATAACTTCTTCCCTCTTTTATCTTTCTTAATTTTATTTTATTTATCTTATCTCACTTCAGTTCATAATACTTATCATTCTTTGTCTGTTCTATTTCCAGCTATTCATTCCTCTTATCTCTTTTAATATACTTCTCCTGTACACTGATTGGAGTGACACCTTTGACTCATTCTCCTAACTTAAAATTACTTAATATAACACTTAGTTTATATTGGGATTCTGTTTAGTACATTCTAATGTTACACAATAAATGTTATGAGAAGGGTAAAAACACAACAATAACTAAATAAAATCATATATAACCACTATCCATATCATTAAAAAGCTAATCATATATATTAATACTCATTTATATCTTAAACATTTTACTCTAAAAACACATATAAAAACACAATCTTATGTACCTTCCAGAATCCCTTTTTTCAATTAGATTTACCCATTGTTTCTAAATAAGCTTTGTTTCTTTAAGTCTTGCTTCCCAGCATTAAGGCTTCTCATCCCCTCCTTTCTCTCTTGCTTATTCTTCTCCTTGCCCTTTTTACCCCTTTCTCTCTCCTCCTCCCTTTTCTTACTCCCTTTCTGTTGTTTTCTAACCTTGTATCCACCTTTCATCTCATTTTTCTCTTTTTTGGTTGTTTTTTCAGACCTTAAAATCCCCCCCTTTTTTTCCTCTTTCTCCTCCTCCCCAACAAGAACCCATTGTTCATCAAAGATGGCTTCTTCTTCTTCTTTGTCCCAGTCATCCTGCTGCATAGTCAACTTTTCATAAGTGCATACCGCCATTTCTAAAAATTGAAATAGAGTGTCCAAAGTATCTTTTCCATCTTGTTCTTCTTTTTTATATTTTTGATATTCAATTTTTAGTTCATCCACAAGCGATGCCATCATGAAGAGAAAAACTTTTTCCAAAACAACCACCCAAGTATTTTTAATCAAGAATAATTCCAAAAAATTCCAAAGTTACCAAAGCATCCAAATAAACTATTTCTTATAATACTTTTTTCTTTCTTGTATTTCTCTTTCTGGGGTTACTGTTTAGTCAAAGAGATCCAATTACAATGTATCTTTCTTTAAAGTTCTAGGCAATCTCCTCCTTTTTCAACTTCTGCTCCAATTTTTTTTCCCTCTCCCTTCCCACTTACAACAACAATTTTCTTTTAAATGTTCAGAAATCCATACCTCCAATAAGGGTTTCCGATTTCTTAAGTTGTTAAATCCAATGTCCAGGAATCCTTTGTCCCTTGGCTTTAACTTTCAAAATAATTTACCTTCAGTGCCCAAATAAATTTTCCAAATCTTCATCTGCTGTTTCTATGGGGTGGGAGAGTGAAGGAAAAAAAAAGTTTTTTCCCCTTGACAGCTTACTCCGCCGCTTTCCGATCTTCTTAGGGATACAGTGTATCTTCCAGCAATTCAAACGATTCAGTTCCAGGATGTTTAAAAATTGTTGATTGACCCGGCTCAGCCAGCACTTTCACTTTCCCTGCTTCCTCCAGCACAATCTTACCCGGCTGCAGGCTTCTTCGTGGCAGCCATTACTGACCGCCGCTCCACCACCTCGGGAAAAAGGGGTTTTTCCAGGCGAGGAGGGGGTCTGTGACACCCCCAACCCCTGTCCGGATCCCCTCTCTCTTCGGCTGCCTCTACAGGGCAGCCATACCCCCTTGACCCATTTGGATCAGGGGCACCTTGGCGGCAAGCACAGCAGGAATCGCAGACAGTCGCGAATTCCTGCTGCCACCGAAGCCACGCAAAACCGGAACCTTGGACCTTGGACTTTCTTATTCAATCTGCTTTTGGATTATGGATTTCCTGTCTGGCTGATTGCAGAGGGTCAGATTAGGTAAACATACCTCTTCAGCCCTTATTCTTAACACTGGTGCACCATAGGGTTGCATGTTGAGTCCCTTACTCTATATTCTTTATGTGCATGACTGCATTCCCACTCACGCTAGCAATAGTATTGCTAAATTTGCAGATGATACAACAGTGATGGGACTCATCTCTGGGGGGGATGAGTCTGCCTACCAAGATGAAGTGGACGGTTGCTTTTGTGGTGTGGAGACAATAACTTGGTCCTCAACACCAATAAGACCAAGGAGCTTATAGTGGACTATAGAAGGAACAGATCAGACATCCAGCCCTTGCTTATCAATGGAGACCGAGTGGAGCAAGTGGCCAGTTTGAAGTTTCTGGGTGTTACCATAAAAGAGGACCTGACCTGGGGTGTGCACATTGCAGCACTGGTCAAAAGGGCCCAGCAGATATTATATTACCTGAGACTTCTCAGAAAACAACAACTGAATGAAAAACTGCTAGTGACCTTCTACCGCTGAACCATAGAGAGTATCTTAACTTACTGCACCTCTGTGTGGTTTGCCAATTGCACAGTGGCAGATAGGACAGCACTCCAGAGGGTTAACATCATTGCCCAGAAGATCATTGGTTGCCCTCTCCCCTCTTTATAGCTCCCACTGCCTTAAGAAAGTTCAAAACATTCTTAAAGATCCATCTCATCCTGGGCACCTTTTTTTTTTTTTTTGGAACTATTACCATCTGGCAGATGGTACAGAATAATAAATTACAAGGACAAATAGGCTGAAAAATGGCTTCTATCCCAGGGCAGTACCTCTGTTGAATTCTACTACATAGTGCGGTGTTGGTGTGGTGTCGGGGTTTTCAATGGTCATGATGTACACTGAAAATGGGGTTTGATTTCATTGTACGGGGTGCAATGACAATAAAGTAAAATAAGTAAATTTGTAAACTGAGTTTTGCTCCATTTTATGAACTTTCTTGCCACATTTGTTGAGTGAATCACTGCAGTTGATAAGTTACTAACCTGGTTGTTAAGTGAATCTGGCTACCCCATTGACTTTGCTTCTCAAAAAGTGATCACATAACTCTGATGCTGCAATGGTCATAAATTTGAACTAGTTGCCAAGCATCTGAATTTTGATCACATGAGCATGGGGATGCTGCAATGATCATAATTCTGAAAAATGGTCATAAGTCACGAAATGAACTGTTGTACATTGAGAATTACCTGTATTAAGATTTACAGCAATATAATAAACACTTTAAGAACAATTCAATATTGATGATTCCATGAGAATTTTCTATAATAAGCTAATTAAACTTATTACACTGCTGGTTTAGGACTTCTAAATCTTCCCAGAAAATATATGAAAGTAAAAGTTCTTACATCAGATCTTCAAGCAATGGTGGTGGGGGCTCTTCCCTGAAAGGTAAACCATTGTTCAAGAAAGTTGCTAGAGTTGCTATGCCATCAATTATAACATCTCCTGATTCACAATATGTATGCTGTGGCTTATAAGGAATATGAATTTTACATTTCATATTATAAGCGTTGCATGCTTTAGAAGAGAACAATGCTATCAGCAAAAGTATTACCAGCTCCATTTTCAGCGCAGGTCAAATCTTCCTTCTTCATTGGGATTCTTATTCATTTCACAGAAATTTAATTGATATAAATTTAATTCACAGATTTTAATCACAATTAGACTTCTTGTGATTTTAAAAAAATGAAGGAATGAAGATTCAAAAAAAGAAAGACATATTCCAGATCAAGTTTAAAAAAAAATCCATATCTGTTTTTATTCTTTCTTCACTTCAAATGGATACATGTATTTTCTCCTTCTTTTGTACTTGGAAACTGAGAATCCAAGGGAGATGGAACCAAGAGAGACATTAATTACAAGTCTTGTGGTAATTAAAGAGTAAGATATTGACCACTTCAGACCCCACAATATGTGAGGAAAATATGTTGTTTTCAAGTTTTAATGACCTCCAGCTTTATCAAAAAGAACTGTATATTAGAAATATCTAACAGAAAAAAAAAAAAAGCTGGAAATATCTAGGCCATCCTTGTCCAATATGGCATCCTCCAGGTATATAGACTCCATAGCTTGAAGAATTTCCAATCATTTACAAATAATTGGATAAAATTCAATATAGAATATATAATATAGAGCACCATCTATATTTCATCCATAAGGCCAACTGTCAGAAAGAGAGAGAGACAGAGGCAGGGAGAGATGAAGGGTCCTTGGTACTCTCTGAGCAGCTTGCTTTCTTGCAGACATTTCATTACTCTAACTAGGTATCATCATCAATGCTAGTAAGGAATGGTGTTTGCTGTCAGTTTATATTCTGGTGTCTTGCCTGTCTGTGTGGATGGGGGCAGTCTTAGTGATTCTTTGGTCAGGCTGTTTACTGATGGCTCTTTGGCAGTTTTTTGACTGGGGTATTATTTACTTGGTTGTTGGTCTGGAGCAGGGGTGAAATTCAAATTTTTTCCCTGTTGGCTTTGTGGGCATGGCTTGGTATAATAGCAACCAGGGGCAATTTTGTACTGATTCAAATCGTCCCTACCACCTCTCCCGAGCCGGGCCGAGGTGGTTGAATTTCATCCCGGGTCTGAAGTTAACCTTGGAGTTAATCTATGCTGATTTGAGTGCTGATTACTGGTGACTTTTTCATAGTCTACGGATGTTGTTAATATCTATGTGTCAATTGATGGCTGATTTGTCAGAGTGCCAGGCTTCTAGAAATTCCCTGGCATTTTTGGCCTTGTCTAGGATTGTCACATTTTCCCAATTGAAACTATGGTTAAATCTATCTATATATTATGAAGTAAAGAATTTTCGTCAAGTCTTCTGACTGCCAGTTGGTGTTCATGGATGCGTTCTGTCAGTCTTCTATCTGTTTGTCCTACATAGTGGTTTTCGGAGAGTAATGACTTTCTCTTTGCAACCCTGTCATGCACACAATTGTTGTTCAGTGTTCTTCTGATGGGGGTCCCATGAACACTGACTTTCTTCCAGTGTAGGAGAGATTCTTAATCTTGGTGTGATCTCGGTTGTTCAGGGTAACAATCATGTTGAATTGCTTGGATTTGTACACGATTTGCTGACTGAACTTTTCCAACTTAATAAGCATCAACAATTGTTTCTGGAAATCTTATTCATTCAAGTGATTTAATCAATCAATCAGAATAGAGGTGGAAGGGACATTGGAAGTCTTCTAGTTCAATTCCCTGCTCAGGTGGGGGATCCTATACCATTTAATACAAGTAATTGTCCAGTCTCTTCTTAAATAGCTCTAGTGATAAAGCACCCACAACATCTGAAGGCAAGCTGTACCACTGGTTAATTATCCTCACTGTTGGAAAGTTTCTCTTTAATTTCAGGTTGCTTCTCTCCTTGAGTAGTTTCCATCCATTGTTTCCTGCCCTGCCCTCTGGTGTTTTGGAAAATAAATTGATCCCCTCCTCTTTGTGATAGCTTTCAAATACTGGAATACTGCTATCATGTGATAGGTCTAGCGATTAAGACATTAGGCTAGAAAACAGGAAACTATGAGTTCAAGTCCCACTTTACCCATAAAACTTGGTTTGGTGAGTTTGGGCCAGTCACACTTTCTTAGCCCAATCCACCTCAGAGGGCTGTTGTGGGAAAAATAAGAGGAGGAGATTGTCAAGAAATTGCATAGCAGAAGAAATTGGAGATGCTAACACAAATTTGTATTATACTATATACATATTGCATACATACAGTACATACATAATATTTAACAGTCAAATTTACAGCAGTCTTTGTCATCACCCAGAAAGAAAAATAATGAGATACATTAAACAGTACAGTGGAACCTCGGGTCGTGAATGCATGACCAAATTGAAAAATCCACCCAATTTTTGAATCAGGAAACAATTCAAAAATCAGGTGGCAAACAAAATTGGTGCGGAAAGATTTCCTTTCTATGCCTATTTCCCCTTCCACAATTTTTTTTGTGCCTGCACATGCACAGTCAGTTGTGCTTCTGGTCATGACCAAATTGGGTTGTGACTATAGTCCTGGAACAGATTACAGTCGCAACCCGAGGTTCTACTGTATATAGAACACATAGAAGAAAAAAAGGAGGGAAAAAAGGGAAACTCCCCCTTTATACTGACAGCAACCAATCATAGCATAGATTGCATCATGCATGAGTCAGCACTCTCTAACTCTGTGTTCTGGCCTATTGCATACTTTACTGTTCTAGCTACTAAATTCAATATCCTAACAGAAATATTTGCCACCTTGAATAGATACGTTGTCACCTTTTCTAACAATTACTGTGGCGAACTGAGACTAGAGCAATTCTGTAGCTGATGTATGAAAAAGTGTTGCTCTGGACACAATAAATTGTTATTATAGTTTTTAGTTGTTTGGGGGTTTTGTTTGTTTGTTTTTAATATTTTGTGAAGCAACCAGGGTTGTGGTTCATAATATTTTCTACAGCTGTTGTGTGTTATTAAGAACAGGGATTGAAATTAATTCTCCCATAAACCAGAACTATATGGTGGCAGCTTTAGGACTGGTTTGGTTATATTTTTCTCTCCAGTTGTTATGTCCTTTTGTTGAAACACAACACAAACAACAGGGAACAACTAATTAAGAGAAAGAAATTATGATATTAACAAATGACTTTTTTGTACATTGTGATGTGGCTGTTGAGAAGCATCAGGATATTTTTTTTCAACATTTAGCAGCATATATGAAAGTCATCTTTTCTATCAGGGTCGTATAGTTGCTTTGGAAAACACCTGCACATTGCTTTCTGTTTGCTTGTGTGTGATTAGGATCTTCATCTTGCTTTGCAAAATACAGAGAAAAGTGAGTGTTCTTGCACAAAGATAATGTGAAAGTCTTCAGAAGCTTCATAAACTCTCAGTAGTTTATGAATCTAGATATACTGAAACCGATAATAAGCTTTATCAAAACTAAGTTAATGGGAATAATAACATTGTGTAAAAATCATTTACTATCTCCCTACCCAGATTTATCTGCAATGTTGAATTTGGTATTATCTGTTGATATCAAATTTTTATGGCTGAAATAATTACATATGTGTCCATAGCCCAATATCAATCATATTCACTTTGCGGCATTAAAGAAACTGAATCTTAAAACCTGGTTTCCAAAATTTGCCAGAATTTAGTTAAGTGACAAGGTGAGCAAAAGTGAAATGCAAAAATGCAATCTGGAATTCCTTTCTCAAAGGGATGCAATAATTAAAGTAAATGTTGAACGATAAGACTGTAATTCTATTTTTCCTAAATATACTATACTCTGTTAAAGTCTCAAAGGATGTTTCTGTCAATGAAAGTTGAGATATATTAATATACTTGAAATAATTTATTAAAATACTGTCTTACTTCTTTCTTTGATTTGAGCTGATCCTTTTGTATGTAATTTGTTTTATCTCTATTATATGTGTGTGTAAAAGTGCATGTCTCAGTTCTTGGCAAAGTAATCTTATAGCTATCTGTGTTGATAAGTTGGCCTGTTTTTGTTTTCTAATTAACTAATTTTAATAATTTACATGGTATTGTCATCAATCTACAATCCTGAAACAGTTGACTCATATGAGAGACAAAAAGTAGTTGAAAGTAGAGCCAAGATCTTTTTTCACCTCACAAAACCAAATGATTCAAGAAAATATGCATCATCTCTTAAAATTACTTTAATGCCCATTCCAAGACTAACATGCTGGATTCTAAAAATATTTTTTTAAAACTCTGCTGAGAAGATTATTGACAACTATCCAGAAGTGGCTTTCTTGTGTCTTTCAGATGCTGTATCTTTAATTTTAATATTAAATAGTCCTACATTTTATCAATAATTTCATGTCTCACTTTTTAAATAAAACCCATATGTTTCTTATCGATATTACAGTATGTCCAGAACTCTTAAGAATACATGACAGAAATCATTCATACTAATAAATATCAAACAATGTTCTGTCCAATTGCAAAGTTGGGCAGTATTAAAAGCAGCACAACATTGCATTCAAAGATTATTATAGCACTTGAATTTTGGGAAATAGGGACTTTGGGTCTATGTGAAATCAGAGATCATAAGACCTATAGTTCATTCATATGATATATAAGCTATGATACTGTCCAAATATTAGAATCACATTCATGGTCATGCAGGACAGCAATGTTACAGTAACATCATCCTAGCACAATATATGCAACAGAATAACAAAATCCTGCATCTGACTTTGAGGGAGGATTGTCCTGAGTATTTTTTAAAAAATAATCTCATTCATTTTCAGTGTTTTCTTTTCAAACGAGATAGAAACATTTTTTTATTAGTCAAAACATGTTTCCTTCAATTCTCTTGAGATCTATAAAGCAATTGCATACTATCTAATTTTGAAAGAATAGAGGTTAGTTTGTTTATGTTCAACCAGATACAGCACTTCAAAACATGAAAAATATTATAAATATTGCAACTTTTTTCATGTTGGGCAGAATAAAAACACTACAAGTATACAACGCAGTTTGTGGAGGCTTCTTACTCTTTTCCAAGATTTGCTTTATAATCACCTTTTGTTACTAGAATACTAATATCACTATCATCAAAGAAGCAAGAAGAATTTAGATGTTAGGGAAAGATTTGGCTAACATTCAACAATGTTAGCTTTAATAATTGTTTCACAAGCATTATTTAATCTCCTATTTTCTAAATCACATAATATAAAATGTAGAGTTCAAAGTCCTCAGGATCCATATCATACATACTGTCAGCCAGGTGATGTCATTGTGGGTGGCATTATCACCTTAGCTATTTTCCTGCATCCTACCCCAGAGTTCAGCAAAATCCCATCATCACCATTGATTGAAGATGTTATGTAAGGATTTTATGCTTAGTTCCACATTGTCTAACATTATGAACTGCTACTAGATCTTAATTCAATTAGTCTATTCTGTTTAAAATTGTATCGAACCATTGAAGATAAGTATAAATTTCACTATTTTCACCAGCAAGTTTTCAATGTTTAATGATATGTCTGATCCAGAATATTAAGGGGGAAAATTTACTGAAATTTTTACTGTTCTATATAGATATATCTGGCAAAGGTGTGTGTCATCTCTGAGATTTTTACATATTCTTCCTTGTAGTTATCTTCCTCTTGATTTATATACCATTGAGATAATTGTAGTAAAATGTGTCATTTTTTCATACTTTTAATGATGTGAATAGCTATTATTAATATAATTTATGAATATATAATATCATATCGAAGAACAACATTATTACCAAAAATAAAGAAAAAAGACATGGATGATGTAGATATTTGCACTAAAGTTGATATTTTGCATAAATAAGTAGACATATATAAAATAATGTTTGCTAAGTTTTCATATATTATATAGTATGATGTTACTTTATGAAAACTTCATTATATTAGCTTCATGGATGTGCTAATAAAAATAAAAATATTGAGACTTATAACATGAGATCAGGGGTAGGATTCAAAATTTTCAACAACTGGTTCTGTGGGCATGGCTTAGGTGGTGGGCATGGCTTGGTGGTCATGTGACTGGGTGGACATGGCTTGGTGGTCATGTTATTGGCTGGGTGTGGCCAACTCAATATCACGCACATCGAGGCACGCATCTCCTCGCCTGGCCTCTTATGATTGTGGGGATGCTGCAACAGTCGTAAGTGTGAAAAACGGCCATAAGTCACTTTTTTCAGTGCCATTGTAACTTTAAATGATCACTCCACACAAGCAAAGTACCAGGAAAGGAAGGGGAAAAAACTTGAGAAGTTCCTGAGACAGGAAATCTAGTCCTGCCAAGAATGTAGTAAGGGTTAACGGAGAGGCAGTTTCTGTAAGCAACACCAGAATGTTTCCTTCCTGCCTTCCTTACAGAATTAGGCTGGTAATTTCTTCTAACAACTGGTTCTCCGAACTGCTTAGAATGTTAACAACCAGTTCTAGTAAAAAGGTGCAAACTGGTAGAATCCCACCCCTGCAGGGGATGAAATAAATAGTTTTTTCTTTAAAATATCATTTACAATTTTATATGATAATTTATCTTCAATTTCAGATTAGTTCCTAAATATTATCAAAATATTGTGGCTCTGGCATTTGCAGTCCAGGAGATCAATAAAAACTCAGAGATCTTATCCAATGTCACTCTTGGTTTCAACATCTATGACAGTTACTTCAATGCACAGAAAACAAACCATGCCACAATGTTACTGATTTACAACAAGAATAACATTTTTCCCAATTATATCTGTGGTATTCAGAATCATATGACTTCAGTGATTGGGGGACTAGACGCTAAAACCTCTATTCACATTGCAAATCTCTTGGATATCTATAAGATCCCACAGGTGAGAAACAGAACATACCTGACTTTTAGAATTTCTACATTTCATCTGGTAAATTAGAGGCAGAAATTGACATTCTTCTAAGTAACTGTTTTTATTGTGTGCTTCTTCTCTTTTAAAATATTTTACACCATTTAAAAAAAAACAAGGACAATGACAAGCTAGAAAATCTTAACCTAGCAAAAGAAACTATTATAGCATGAATGAAAGATAGGCACTCTGATTAAATGACATGGAGGTTTTTTCCTCAGTCACTGGAAATAGAGTTAAAACTCTATAGTCCAAATAGCAAAAAGTCTTCCAGCAAACTTTAGTCTCTCAAAGATATTGCACATAAACTTTGGTTAAGTACATTACATTATTTTAGGGATATGTAAACAAATTAGATACAGAAGAAGTTACAAAAAAGGGGAAAGGGGGAAAAAAGTACAGTATACATCAACTACAGCTCCTGCAGAAAATAAATATCTTATTGATAGATTAAATGTATTTTTATGCAGCCGCATTCAAAGCTACTGTTGGAGGCTTATGTAGAAAATGTACAATACAAAGCATGCACAATATAAGTAGAAAAAATACAAGAAATATGAATTGGGAAAGACTGTCCAAAACAGTTCAAAGTCCAAGCGCTTTTGAAAGACCTGCAAAGATTTCTGCAGGAACAAAGGCTATTTTAAGATTCAATTCAGTTCAGAATTTTCCTATTTAGAGTCCTTCATGGATATAAATGTGCCAACCAAATTCACAATAACAAAAAGAGAAGTGATCTGTTCTGGACAATGGTAATTACAACTAGCCTTAATTACACACACATATTCTCTCTCACACAAATTTCTGACATACAAAAAATACAGTCAGAATATCATCTAAATCACATTTCTTGAAGTACTTCTCTTAAAGCCTAAATCTAATAGACATTGGCACCTATCATAAAATATCATTTGTTCATTCATTCATTTGTTCAACTGAAAGCACTACACTGGATTTAAAATTGCTCAAAACATGCTTATTTGTGAATGAAAAAATGCATAGTCTGCTCAAATAGGTAGTCAATATTTTCTCTATTTTTTCTCTATTAAAGAGGACACTTGTTTGGACTACTCCAATCTTTCTAACAGGTGTCCTTGCTTTAGCCTTATATTTGTCTTTTCATTCTAATTTCAGCAATAATAGTTTTTGCTCATCAACATAAGGATATCTTTTATTGCTGTATGAATGTATTATGTTTTTTAAAATCTTGAAAATAACAATTAAATGTGACTCTCTCTCCATCTCTTTCCTTTGCTCTCAATCCTATGTAGCTCATCTATGGCTCTAGCCCCATCATGAATTATAAAACACCAGGTCTTTTTTTCTTCCAGATGAGCCCATTGGAAAGACTTCAATATGAAGGGATTCTGTCTCTGATTCTCCATTTTGGGTGGACATGGATGGGCATAGTTGTAATAGCCAATGATAATGGAGATAAGGTTATAGAAAAGATTGTTCCATTATTTTCCCAACACAACATCTGTTTTTCATATATAGAGAGAATTGGTGAAATAACAACAGTTCATGAAATCTATGACTTGTTCAACCGTGGTGCAGAAATACATGATAAAGTTATGGATAGCAATGCTAATGTTCTGATATTTTTTGGAGAGTCTTATATTATGATAAGGTTGAGATGGATAGCATATTTATCACGAAAAAACATAATTGATACTGTCAAAGGTAAAGTGTGGATATTTACAGCACAAATGGAGCTCAACTCACATGTATATCAAAGAAATTGGGATACTGACATAATGAATGGTGCTCTGTCCTTCACAATTCATGCTAATGACCCACCAGGATTCCAGTCATTTTCTGAAAGTAGACATCCTTCCATGACAGAAGATGGATTTATCAAGGATTTTTGGCAGCAATCCTTTGTTTGTGCATTCAAAACTTCAAATGTAGGTGAAGTAGTTGGTGATATTTGCACAGGAGAAGAGAAATTGGAAGATCTTCCTGTAACTTTTTTTGAAAAGAGTATGACTGGTCACAGCTACAGTATTTATAATTCTGTCTATGCAGCAGCACATGCATTGCATGCCCTGATTTCACCCAGATTTGCCCAATGGTCAGTGGAAAATAAAATAAAAATGAAACTTCAAAATCAAGATTCATGGCAGGTAATGGACTGGGCATGATCATGAAGAAAATAAAATATTTGTATAAAGGAAAATGAGGCCCATAATTTCAATTAAGGAATTAATTTTTAATCTCCTTTCCCATCCCTGGAAGGGACACAAGGTTCTCTGGTTTGATTAACCACATCATATCCTCATGGATTAACCCATCACATCCTAGACATAAACTGTTTCAACTTGTCTCCTTGGGCATTGCATGCCAAAACAACTAGATTCAGAGACATTTTCCCTTTCATGCCAGCACTCTGCTGAACACCTAATTCACCCAGTAAGGTCTTATATATAAGTATATTTACCTTCATGAGTAAAGTATTCCATTCCATTCCATTCCATTCCATCCCATCCCATCCCATCCCATCCCATTCCATTCCATTCCATTCCATTCCATTCCATTCCATTCCATTCTATTCCATTCTATTCTATTCTATTCTATTCTATTCTATTCTATTCTATTCTATTCTATTCTATTCTAATCTATTCTGATTTCCACTACACCAAATTTACTCAGACTTTTCCCCATAAATTAAACCCCACTTTCTAATCTTTTATCTTTGCTTTTTCATCTAGCTGCACTCCTTTCTAAAAGGCCTCTCATTTAATAACAGTGCTGGGGATCTGATTTCTATTGATTACAATGGAGAGTTAATAGCTGGATACGATATACTGAACTGGATTGTTTCTTCTAATGAATCCTTTATTAGAGTTAAAGTTGGGAGGGTAAACCCTGAAGTTTTTTCAGACCAAATATTCACCATAAATGAAGATGTCATAACCTGGCACAGTTGGTTTAACCAGGTGGGATTCTACTTCTGTGAAATTTATAGCAAAACTATTTTGTAGTTAGATGCATAAATTGAATAATTCAGACCTGATCAAATAAGAAGATGTATTATAATGCAACCAATAATGTCTCCAAGTTGTTGCTTCAGCTGGATTTCTTCTGAATTCATTATTTACTATGATGAAATAAAATATTTGATATGATATCTGTGGAACCATCTTTAGGAAAAGCATTAAAATCTGGTATGGGGTACTGAAGGAGAAGCTATTGGTTGGAGGTCGTTGGTGCACTGACAGAAAAGGTACTCCCACCCCACCTCTCCAATTACTTGGGGTTTTTTTGGTTAGTTTTTATTTCTGTAATTTTAATCTATTTTTATTGTATAATTGCCAGGTGTTTGTGTGGCTATTTTGTTGTTGTTATAAGCTACTGAGAGTTGCCTTGAACTGTGAAATAAATTTGATAGATAAGTAGATAGATAAGTAGATGGGCAGACAGATAGACATTTCATATTCTTCTAAAAAACTAGAACTTATTTTTCTATAGTATAAATTTCAATTGAATTATTCATGATGACTTACAATAACACATCATTATGGCTGTTTATTTAAAATAGTTGCAGTTTTGCTTTTTAAATATTGTATTCCATAATTGTGGGTCTGTCATATACTCTTTTCTTCAAATTTTAATGTATAAATTATAGATTGAATGAAGATAGTGATTTGGTTCTTTTTTGAATCTGTTCTTTGGTTATTTCAGTAACACATACAAAAAGCTTTTTCAGGATTAATATTTATAATTAAATTTCAATCGTACCAAATTTATTATGTTATCACCCCAATTTCTGAACTAAATGTTTAGACAGAAATTGAGCAATGAAGTCTGCTTTAACTATTTTTGAATGGTTATTAATTCAAATTGTAATTTGATGGCTCATTTTTCATGCAGCCAAGATGGCTGAAACAAGCAGCCCATCTCTGTTGGAGACTATCCAATCCTGATCTAAGAAAAGTCTAAAAAGAAAATGTTGTACATCTCTAGCACTCTACCTGGAGATAAATCTGCCCAAACATTTATGATCTCATATGTATGAGATTGTTTAATGTGTGTAAACCAGAGGTGGTACTCAGCAGGTTCTGACCAGTTCTGGAGAACCGGCAGTGGAAATTTTGAGTAGTTTAGAGAACTGGCTAATACCATCTCTGACTGGAGATTTTATAGTATCCTTCCCCTGTCACACCCACCAAGTCTCACTCATAGAACTGGTAGTAAAAAAGTTTTGAATCCCATCACTGGTGTAAACTTGAATTTCCTATATCAGTGCTTGGTCCCACTGATCCTTGTTGATTCCTTTCTTGCACCCAGGAAATTAAGTCCCAGCAAAATATGGTATAACACAGTCTTATCCCCAAAAAGACTTTGGATATGGGATATGATCACATAAAACATATCTTGAAATGGAGGTTCATTGATATATTTAAGTAGGTAGATCAATGCAGAATTTCTGCTAATGTCCTAGCTAGTTAAGTGTCTTGGTATATGTTCTCCAAGCAGCTCAATATTTTAAATATCTCAATTCCTCAAAGTTCTGGAAAATTTTCAACCTTCATCATTTTCATATGCTTCCATCAGCAATCCTTAAAGTAGGTATGAGATAGATATGAGATCACCCAGAGTTAAATCAAATCACAACAATAGCATTCTATCACTGGTGTTTGCAAGACGCCAAAACCACATAACCAATAAAAAAATTATTATTCAAACTATATGGAAAAAACCATGGTTAGGATTATTATTGTCAAAAAGCGAGGATACGTACCATGATTAGACATGAGAAAATAAAACCTGAAAGAAGATTTCAGGAAAAAACAATTACAACACCAGGACAACTTGACAATAACCTTGAATATGACCTCTGTACATTGAAAGAATCAGAAAAAATATTTCAAAATTTTGAAACTGGTCTAGTAGCAATGAATCAAGATATGCTGCATCAAACATTAAAAAAACATTAAATAGTAAAGAATGACAAACTGCCATTTATGGATCCTTCTACCACTGTAAAAGAATGCATTAGAGAGAAAAAAGGTGAGCATTAAGTGTACTGAAAAAAAAATCTAGCAAAAAATAGAAATTGGTAAAGTTCACATGAAGAGCAAAAAAAGGAGCGGGGAGTCACTACTGATTTAACTCTGCTGGTCATTGTGGCTATAGGGGCCAGTGTTCCTCCCCATTTCAAGGTCATTGAACCAAGACTATCTGAAGACATTTCCAAGGTCATGTGACCAGCACACATCATTTTTTGTTCCCACAAAATTGGTACCTATTTATCTATTGTTCCACTTACATTTGCGTGCTTTTGAACTGCTAGGTTGACAGGAGTTGGCGCGAGGTTGGGATTCAGCCTGTCAGGTCTCAAACTGGGTTGCCAGCTTTCCATCCAACAAAGCCAAAGTCTTAACCACTGAGCCACCAAACCCCCTTGAAGAGCAGTGAAAGCTTTAAAATCATAGTCTATGAAGGCCAGTAATTTACAAATAAATCTCTGAGAATACAAAATAACAAAAATGGAAGGGTGTTGGAGATCTTCAAGTCCAACCTCCTGCTCAAGTGTGAGATCCTATACCAGTCCAGAAAAATGGCTTGCCACTCATTTTTAACACAATTGAATATGGTCAGTGTGGCAGCGTCATGAATATCTTATTCTAGATTATCTTTAAAAACAGCCAAAAAGTAGAACCTAGTATAAATCCTATTATAAGAATTTTATTCATATAATGGACTATATAGTTGCAAAGTAGAATACCATAGATTGTCACAGTAACAGTTATGTATATTTGGAAAGACTAGAAATCCGATGCACCTTTCTTTGGCCAATACTGTTGATAGTAAGCCTGTGCCACAAAGAAGAGGGAGTCAAGCTATTCTTCAAAGTACCTGAGGGCAGGACAAGAAATAATAGGTGGAAACTAATCAAGGAGAGAAGCAACCTAGGACTAGTAAGAAATTTCCTGACAGAACAATTTATCAGTGGAATAACTTGCCTCCAGAAGTTGTAAATGCTCCAACACTGGAAGTTTTTAAGAAGAGATTGGATAACCATTTGTCTGAAATGGTATAAGGTTTCCTGCTAGAGCAGGGAGCTGGACTGGAAGACCTCAAAAGTCCCTTCCAAGACTGTTATTATATATAAGTAAAAGACACCATTTAAACAACTTTGTAAATTAAATGCATATTAACATCATTGTAGTTCCTTAGTTTGATGGTTATGAGCCATTGAATTGGGCAGCATACACATTTTAAAAATATATTATTAATTATATTCTAACTCAGACTGATATGATACCTCTGAATTGTTCTTTGTTTGTTTTTTTGTTTCTGTTTCAGTCCCAGCCTGTTTCTATATGCACTGGAAGTTGCCATCCCGGTACCAGCAAGAAAATCAAGGAAGGCGAGCCCTTTTGTTGCTATGATTGCATTCCTTGCCCTGATGGGAAGATTTCAGAGAAGGAGGGTAAGAAATATTATGCTAGGAATTTTCTCACACAATGATTGCAGTTTCCAAATGCAATCTTATACATCTGAAGACTGGCGTGGATTAGCACCTTTAAATGGTGGTTTCAGGTGCTCTTTCTGGCAGTTCCTGGTAGCTACCTTTCCCTGGCATTTGCTGACTCTCATATTTCTCGTTGGGAGAGGGAGCTGATGAAGAAATTACACCTGCTAGGTTTTATGGGGGATGCCCTGGGAGATGCCCAATGATGCCTTAAGGATGCCCAATGTAATCTGTAATCTGTAATCTGCAACTCTTACACTGCAAAAACATATGGACGACACAACTCGACCAGGGCAAAACAATAGACGCAATCTACATAGACTTCTGTAAAGCCTTTGATTCAGTGGTACACGACAAACTACTCCTAAAAATAAAATCCTATGGTATCTCTGGACAACTGAATAACTGGATAGAAGCATTCCTGTCAAACAGACAACAAATGGTCAAAATCGGGAGCGTCCTATCAAATCAAGTACCTGTCAATAGTGGTGTTCCCCAAGGCAGTGTTCTAGGACCAACTCTCTTCATACTCTACATAAACGACCTCTGTGATCATATTAAGAGCAATTGCGTTCTCTTCGCTGATGATGTAAAGCTGTTCAATACCACAGACAATACTGCTACCCTACAAAAAGATCTTGACTATGTATCCGAATGGTCAAACAAATGGCAACTTCAAATCTCAACAAATAAATGCTCTGTCTTACATATTGGCAAAAAAAATCAGAAAATAAAATACAAGCTGAATAGTCAAGATCTTGTTGATGACCCAAGCTCTGTAAAGGACCTTGGAATACTCACCTCTAATGATCTAAGTGCTAGAGCACACTGCAACTACATAGCCAAAAAGGCATTAAGAGTTGTTAACCTAATCCTACGTAGCTTTTTCTCTGGTAATATCACACTACTAACCAGAGCATACAAAACATTTGCTAGACCAATACTCGAATACAGTTCATCAGTCTGGAACCCACACTACGTATCTGATATTAGCACAATTGAGAAAGTCCAGAAATATTTCACAAGAAGAGTTCTCCACTCCTCTACTCGCTGTAGAATACCTTATGCCACCAGACTTGAAATTCTAGAACTAGAAAACCTTGAATTACGCCGTCTTCGGTCTGACTTAAGCATGGTATACAAAATCATACATTGCAATGTCCTACCTGTCAATGAATACTTCAGCTTCAACCATAACAACACAAGAGCACACAATAGATACAAACTCAAAGTAAACCGCACCAAACTTGATTGCAGGAAATACGACTTCAGCAATAGAGTGGTCAATGTCTGGATACTCTACCCGACTCTGTAGTTTCTTCCCCAAACCCCAAAAACTTTAACCTTAGACTGTCTACTATTGACCTCACCCCTTTCCTAAGAGGTCTGTAGGGGGGGTGCATAAGCGCACCAACGTGCCTACCGTCCCTGTCCTATTGTTTCTCTTATTCTTTTATTTTTCTTATATGTAACCATTTCATGTATTCACAACTATGTATACATTTATACTTATTATCTTGTAAACAATTGGCAAATCAAATAAATAAATAAATAAATAAAATAAAATAAATAAATGTAGGGTAGTCCAAAGGCTTGTGGACATTGACTTGCAATATCTACAAGCCAGAGCCAACAAAACTTGCTCCCCTCTGATCTTCAGCCAATTTAATAATTACAGACTGAGGATGGCTTCCTATTTTTCCACTCTAACCATTCCCAAGTATAGAAGAGCTTTCTCCCTAGCTCGCTTTAATGTCTTGCACTCAGCACTACTGGATGGGCGATTTAAGAGGCTCCTGATTAATGAGAGGCTATGCCCCTGTGACAGAGATGAGGTTGAAACTGTGGATCATGTCCTTTTATATTGCCCTATGTATAATGCAGGCAGATCTAAGTTACTGTCTCTCCTTGAAACAGACCCTTCTAGACCCAGTGTTAGTAATTTGTTCTTGTATTGTCTATGGGATGGCTCCTCACACATCACTTCTTAGGTTTCCAAAAAAAAATTTAAGAGCTGTAACCATCAGAGGAGAATGCTGTAATTCCCCTTAGTCAAGTTTTTGGTGACCAATTGTTCATGATTAATTTTCCCATGTTCTTCTTTTGTTGTACTTGTGTTTTGGTCTATGACCGCAAATAAAGTAAATAATGTATGGTACATCTGAAGACTCCTTTTGCCCAAGTATTTTGTGCATTATTTTAAATGGGATTGAGATACTGATATATTAGGGCTTGCTGAAGAAAAATCAGGTAACCATTATTATCCTATCTAGTTCAAATGCATAGATTATATGGAGAATTATATAATGAATTCAAATTCTAAAGATTTCACACATAGAAGTTTTGAAATTAAAATACAACAGCACTACCATTAAACAGATTAAATGGTTACAACATTCTTAAAATTTACAGACTAATACACAATGGTTTAATGAATTGGGAATAAAAAATTTCTAAATATTTTTAAAATACATAAATAATATTATTAAGATATACTTTATATTCTAGAAATGGCCTTCAAATCATTTTATTTTTCAGACACAAATGATTGTTACTTGTGTCCAGAAGGAAGCTATCCAAACAAGAATCAGGATTCATGCATTCCTAAAACTTTGACATTCTTGTCTTATGAAGAATTTCTGGGAATCAGTTTAGCCTTCTTTGTTCTTTTCTTTTCTTTGCTCTCAGTGATTGTGCTTGGAATATTTTTGAAGAACAACAACACCCCCATTGTCATAGCCAATAGCCGAAATCTCACCTACATTCTCCTCATCTCCCTCCTGCTCTGTTTCCTTTCTGCATTCCTATTCATTGGTCATCCTGAGAAGATGGTATGTCTCCTGCAACAAGCAACTTTTGGGATTGTTTTTACAGTGGCTGTTTCTTCGGTGTTGGCAAAAACTGTCACAGTGGTTCTGGCTTTCCAGGCCACCAAGCCAGGATCCAAGATGAGAATGCTTGTGGGAAAGAGACTGTCCAACTCCATTGTCATTTCTTGTTCTCTCATTCAAATAGGTATTTGCACGACATGGATAACAACTTCTCCCCCTTTCCCAGAAAAAGATATGGATTCAGTACTTGAAGAAATTATTCTGCAGTGCAATCAAGGCTCTGTGACTATGTTCTATAGTGTCCTAAGCTATTTGGGCTTCTTGGCTGTTATTAGTTTCATAGTTGCCTTCATGGCCAGGAAATTACCTGATACATTCAATGAAGCCAAATTCATCACTTTCAGCATGTTGCTCTTCTGCAGTGTTTGGATATCTTTTGTCCCAACCTATTTGAGCACCAAGGGGAAGTACATGGTGGCAGTGGAGATATTTTCCATCTTAGCCTCTAGTGCTGGTTTGCTGGGCTGCATCTTTCTTCCCAAATGTTATATAATTGTTGTAAGGCCTGATTTGAACAACAGGGAAAATTTAATGAAGAGAAAACAATTCTGATTTTTATTCAGAATGTCCTTTGCATAGTTTAAAATTAGTAAAGCTATATCATCTTTTTCCAGAGTTATGAGGCTGATTTATCAACAGCTACACTCCTGGTTTCCATATGCAGGTATTGCTGCTTCAGTTCACTATGAGAAATGTGCAACAAAATACCTGTGCACATGTATAAGGGGAGAGCAGCTCATGACAGAGACATGCAAGGCTAAAGTTAGATCATAGAAATTTCTCCCATTTATGCTCCTGTCAGCCTCCAAGATTTCTTCTTCTGCTGGACTCTTTCCAGCTGCCATAGAAATGGGGGTGGGGGGAATAATTGGGCTTCATGGGGGGAAAGGTGCTGAAGGTTGAAGTTGTATGAACTGTAAAAGTTGGGATGCTTTCCTGTTTACTATACAAATGCAGCCACTTATCTTTTCTAGGCCAAGGTCAACCGTCTTAGTATACCAGATGTGTAAGACGCCACCTGAAGATGTAACCCATATGACATTAGACACACCTTAGATTGGGTGTCCAGTTTGAATTGTTGGGGGTGGGGATTTGGGATAACTTTATATATGTAATTTCTGTGCCTTTGCCTCAGATTTTGTATTTCTTTTGTTGCTACCACTTCATATTCAATAAATGTACTTTTCTCTATAAAAATAGAATCTAAGGCTTTCTTTCTTGGATTTTGAATGGAGCCACATCTGACATTATACAAGATCTCTGTTTTTACCAGCCCATCTGGAGATTTACCTCTTTATTTTCCAAGAGGATTTGAAAACAATGTCTAACTCAACCAGCCATCAAGAACTGTGGGCTGCTGGAACCACCACCTCACTGCTTCCTGACACTCAAGAGGAGGCCGAGCTGCTGGCAGGGCTGCAGATTGAAGAGAAACCAGTGGTCCAACCCAAATAGTCTCTGGGAGTCAGAGGAGATTCCATCCGGGATGTTGGCATGGAGAAGCTGTGTGGTAGGAGGAAGGCCGAGAAGATCTCCTGCTGACCCAAGCTTTGCATCTCTTGAATGAAGCCCTGGAGGGATGGAGGACTATAGAAAGATATGCATTGCCAGCATGCGAAGACCCTGGGGAATAGAAGGGGGGCAAAAGCCTTTGAAGCTCCATCAGCAATTCCCATAGCTCAGCCAGGGCCAGCTCAAGTGGCTGCAGTAGCCTAAGCCCCCCCTCCCCAGGAGGGTAGCACCACAGAGGCACCGAATTCCAAAAGTTCATCCACTGGAAGTAAAATACGGAGGGGATCCCAAGGAATAGGGATTCTTCCTAGCCCAAGTCCAGAATCATATGAAAGAATATGGGGATGATTTCACCTTAGAGTCAGCCAAAGTGAAATGTGTCACCAAAGCCCTAGAAGTGACTGCAGCCCAATGGGTGGTCACTCTTCACAATTATGATGCCCCTCAATTAAGGAACTATGACCTGTTCATGGCAGCCTTGCACACAAATTTGAAGATCCCCTTGCTGAACACAAGGCTAGGATTAGGATGAAAACCATAAATCAGGAATGAAGGCTCATCATGAATATACTCAGGAATTTAGAGAGGGTGGTCCCAAGGGGCCCTGATGGAAGCTTTCAAAGATGGGCTGAATGAGGACGTTTATCAAAGCTGTATCTCCAAAAAAGATGCTAGAGACCTACAGCTCTGGTATGTGTTGGCTGCTGATGTGGAAATTGATCTGACCAGAAACAGATGCAGGGATGGCCCCAGCTGGAGCAAGCCCTCTCCTTACCAACCCCTGTGAGGCACCCAAAGTTCAAAAGGATGGATTGGCTGTGAAACCCAAAACCACAGCATGCTTCCAATGTGGGAAGGAGGGTCACTGGGCTGCAGATTGCCACACTAAACTGGATACAAAAGGACACCGGCAGGAGGGAAGAAAGTTGAAAAAACCCCAGCCAAGCTGTGTGAAACAGCCATGAAGGTTGTGGAAGTTGTTGAGTTCGCTCCTCCAGGAAGAGAGAGTTGGGAACTCCTACCCCTTCTGGCAAGAGTGAGTCCGACTTCAACAAGATCCTCTGGTAAGTCCACAAAGGGCTCCATGACCATCCCAATGGAATTAAGGATGCCTACATCAGGGTCCCAGGGGAGGATGTTGGATCTGCTAGACTCTGAGTGTATTAGATGTGTAATTAGCTCAGAAGTTGTGGACAAACTAGGATTGAGGCTAAGAACTTTTTTAAAAAACCATAGCATTTTGCCAACTAGCTGGATCAGTGGCTGGGGGTGACCCTGCTCATTTTGTAATGGGACCAGTGGAAATGTTGATGGGAAGACATCGAGTGGCTTTGTGTTTTACTGTGGCCCCTGGGATGGAGCGCCCCTATTACTCTGGCTTAGGAAAAGGAATCCCCAAGAGGACAGGAGGAAAGGTCTGCTGTGCATATGCTCCAACCAACCACCGGAAGGGGAGGAGCTTTCCCTAGTAAGGCCTCAGAATCCTAAGGAGTGGGCATCGGTAGCTAGTGAACACATTGTGAGGGAGGAGAAAATTCCTAAAGAATATTGGGACCTCAGAGTGGTCTTTAGTGAGAAAGCGTTGGATGCGCTCCCCCTCTTTGCCCCTCAGATTGGATGTCCAGTTTGAATTGTTGGAGGTGGGGACTTGGGATAACTTTCTACATGTAATTTCTGTGCCTTTTGCCTCAGATCTTGTATTTCTTTTGTTGCTACCACTTCATATTTAATAAAAGTACTTTTCTCTATAAAAATGGAGTTTAAAGCTTTCTTTCTTTGATTTGGAATGGAGCCATATCTGACAGCTCCATTGTCCAAAACATTTCACCAAAAGAGCTTGCATAGCTATTTACATGCAGTGGGATATATAATTTTTAAAATATTTCTTTATTAAATTAAAGAAATATGAATTTTTGTATTCATACAATACTATTAAGAATGCGAGGAAATATAAAAATATATAGAAAAGTGTGTATGGAAATTTAACAATTATAAAACAACAAATTTGGAAAAATTGTGACCAAGTTGCTTCTTTTCTCACTCTTTATTGGGAAAAAAGAATAAATTATTTGTTTTCATTATGCATTGCGGATTTATTATTCCATTGAGTGATATTCATTCTTATGAGCATCTCCAGTTTCTTAAATCTTGGTTAATTCCAAAGAGACATATGCTGTTTTGACTAACAATGATCACCCTCAACATATATTAACAATCATTTGACTTTTAGCACCAAATATAGTTATGGAATGATATAATTTTTTTCGTATGGGTAATTCATTTCTTAGAGCAAGAAATTGCAACTAATTATTATTCAACATTCTTTTCAATGAAAAAATAAATATTATATATTTTTTGTTGAATTGATATAAATGAACTGAGTCAGTTTGATCTAGTGGTTAAGACACCAGGCTAGAAAGCGGGAGACCATGGGTTCAAATCCCAGTTTAGCATGAAAGCCTGTTTGGTGACTTTAGGTCACTCTCTCTTGGTCCAACTTACCTCATAGGGCTATTGTAAGAGGTGGAAGGTTTGTTGGATATATTTGTCTCCTTGAAGATTTGGCTTTTCTAACAATTACTGGAGTGGACCAAGGCTACAGCAACTTTGCAACTGATGTATGAAAAAGTGTTGCTCTAGGCACCAATAATTTTATTATGGTTGTTTAGCAATAATTTAGTTTAGTTTATTGTCATTGCACCTCATATAATGAAATTAAATGCCATCTTCAGTGTACAACATACATAAGAAAACTATAAAAATAAAACAAAAACACATATCCTTCACATTCTATACAATTGAGTTGAAAACCCCTGATACTGCATTAGTATTAGACTTGTATATCGTTTGTGCTTTAAAGCCCCCTCTAAGCTGTTTACAGAGTCAGCATATTTTCCCCAACAATCTGGGTCCTCATTTTACACACCTCAGAAGAATAGAAGGCTGAGTCTATCTTGAGCTGGTGAGAATAGAACTGCTGAACTGCAGCCAGCAGCAGGGATGGGCTTCAAAAAAATTAGCAACTGATTCTCTATCAGTTACTGGGTAGGTGTGGCCATGATGGGTGAGGCTATTGCATTCTAAGACTGTGCTGAAGTTCTCACTCGGGTCTGCATTTCCTGTGGGAATGTGGACCGCTCCTATTGGCTGATGCCATTTGACAGCTGACTATAAAAGGAAGCTGTCAAACGGCATCAGCTGTTGTCTGTCAGCCGGCCTCGCTGTTAGCTCGTGGCAGCCACAGCAACCCTTTATTTTTAAATAAATTTACTTGCTGAATGTTGCTCTGCGTTGCCTCCGTTCTTCCCACTGCCTACGTATCACTGGCGACGAGGATGGGATTCAGCTAAAGAGACAACCAAGCATGATCACTGAGCTGAAAGTCACTATCTGAGCTGAAAGTCACTATCTGAGCTGAAAGTCACTGTTCGCGAGCATGAATAAAATTCCTCTCAGCAGTGCCGGCTGACCAGAAGACAAGATTACTTCAACCCCTATGTTCCCACCTTTCAGACTGACATCAGAGACTTGGGAATCCTATATAAATCATTTTGACTGTTTCTAGATGCAACTGACCTCGCCGGAATTTCCACCCACAGAAAAAAGGCTTACTTTTTAAGTTTTTGCAGAGCCACGGTGTTTGACACTGCTACCGCATTTCTGGCACCGCAATCAGTAAAGAAAGAAGAATGGGAAGAATTGCAGGAAATCCTCTGTAACCACTATTCCCTTAAACCCTCTTGAATTGCCAGGCATCACACTTTTAGAAGACAGACCCAGGCTGAAGGAAAGACTATTAGCATGTATATGGCAGCCTTACGGACAGCCGCCTTACACTATGGGTTTAGGGACCACCTTGATGATATGCTATTAGACCAATTAGTCTGTGTGGTTAGGGCCCTAACGCTGCAGAGACGCCTTCTTGCTAAAGGCAATCTGACCCTTAAGATGGCTATAGAAGAATCTCAAGCCGCTGAGCTGTCAACGCTCTCAGCGGCAGAGATTCAAGGAAACCCTGTCAGCCAAACTAGCTCAGTTGT